AAATGACACTCAACAATGGTGTTATAATATTTAAAGGCAATATATTTTTTAAAAACATTTCAAGTAACGCGTATCTTTAATAATATTTTTTGACCCCCCTTTCCAACCACTAAAAAAAATATATCTTTTTTGTAAAAGCCCTTCCCTTCCTCTCCCCCATAAATAAGGCCATCTCTACCAATAACCAACTGTACTACATCCACACAAAAAGTTTCATTTTGATGTATTCATTTCTTTCAAGAATAGAGTCAAACCTCGTTAAATACCTCTACCCTTACCTTAGGACAAGCATGACGGTGGTGGAACAGCAACTTAACAGGGTTACTCTGTTGTATGTTTATATAATATCCTCGACCACCCAACATCAGGGAACATGATTCTGCAGAGCATTCTGGTGCTGGGCGGCAAGATTCCTGATTCTTGAAAGAGCTAGGAATCGTAGGAATCGACTCCGAACAAAATTACTTACTTTGTAAAGATGTGATTTCTTCTGGTGGTTACCTGGTTGGTTCCGAACATATTCAGAATTTAGGATAACCTTGATTTCGGAGCACTACGAAGCATCCATTTATATTTTTCAAACATGTTTTCTTTAAAAAAAAGATAAGATTTTAATGATTAAAGTAACTGGTAACCGTTCGTGTTCTCGTAAAAAGAGTCGGAACTTTTCTTCCGTTTCCGTACCATTAATTGTGGGAATCAGTTCCAGAATCGAATCTTCGCCCAGTTCTCGGGCAATTTGTGTTTGAAAAGTCTTCTCTTTCTCAATCTCTACGTCTTTCTTGAGGGAGAAAAATTATCAAGTAGCCAACCAGTGGGTGTTGTGCGCCATGTGCAGGGTGACTCTGTACCTCCGGCGATGGTCATTTGGCTGGCGGTATGTATCATGGCGGGGAAAATTTACATTAGTTAAATAAGGCTTGGATCGTACCTCTCAGACAATTGACAGAGATGGCAAAAGGCGCTGTGAAGGTGTACATATACTGGAAGCTCCTTTTCCTACATAGGCAAAACTTAGCAGAAAAAGGGCCTGGTGGTAAAGATTAAGATTTCAAAATGATTTATCGATTTGAAAGGCCTTTGGCCCATATACATCCACACATTTTAACATATGGTTCAGCAATTACATGCATTGGTGCAGCACATCGGACATTTTAAACATACACTGGGCAAGCACGCACACACCTACACACTTATACTCACACACACATATATAATATATAATATATAATATATACATTCATACTACACCAACACACATACATACTACATAAAGGCATGTTTTGTCATCAGTTTGTATACGTTACTACTTGCAAAAATAGGAAGGTTTCCAATATATATGAAGTGCAACTTTACTGACTCTAATAAACTGTCGGTTGCCCACATCACCTCTAGTCAAATGAAGAGGGGAAAAAAATGTTTTATTCAAACGGTACAAGAACACCACAATAAAGATTTCCAACCTGATAAAAATATTTCTACAGTTAGTAGAAAACTCACCAGGTACAGTGGTTCATGTGCAGCCAAACTTGACAGTCCTCAGGCTGAATATCCAAAGCACGGAAGAGAATCTTCTTGACGTGAAAACTCAGTCATAGTAGACAGAAAAACATCCACACAATCTATCTCAGACTCCTTTGACAGACTTGATATTCAACATTGAAAGGCAACAACTGATGGGTCAGTTTGGAATAGATTTAAGTAAAAGTGCACTTGAGGTCACTAGTGTCTAAAACAAATGTTTGTACATAAAATTCAAAGAAGTTTGACTAAAGAGGCAGAATTTAAAATAAAATGAGTTTAAGTCTTTAGAACACAGGCAATCTGAATACCGTACTGTACTTTTTTTTATGCTTTAGAATTCAGAATATAGGAGATAAAAGAGGCAATCTTTTTTCCCAGGGAATCTGCATTGGCACTCCGTAACTTACACTAGTGTGGAAGAATTTTTACTAGTCAAAATTATGCGGCCTAACTTTTATCTCTATAAAAAGAAGTTCTGATGGGCACTTCAAAAAAAGCTCCGTCACTGAAAAATCTGAAAAAAAAAAAGCTAATTTTTTAAGTTTTAACTCTCTCAACACTAGGCAAAAATAGCTTTCCTAGTCTTATATTATATAAAAACCTGTCAAGATTGTTTTTAGAGTTAAAGAGCAGTAAATCTGATGCACAGCAGTTTAATTGCTCTAATAATCAGCTAACAAATTCAGAGCAAACTTTCTATATATAATGTGTGTGACTCTTCTTTCATTAATTTTGCATTTGAACCAGTTGACCAACAGTTTGTTGCGCACTTCAAAATGCTCCTTTAGTAGAAAAACAAAGCAAAGCATAAATTACATTTTAAAACTTGCTAGATCAAACTATAACCTGAGTTTAACTTTATTTAGTATCAATAGTTGAAAACAAAGTAGCACTAAATTCCTGTTCGTGAAAGCAGTGGATTTCACCCACGGATGACCATTATAGTAAGGTCTATGTTATATATATATATATATATATAAAAAAGATTCTATATGGAACACTTCTAAAATCCTAATCTTTTCCCCAAAAATTTTTTTTTAATTCTGGTCGAAAGAAATTCTACAGCCCTCTCCATGCTATTCAAATGACATTTTATCTTTTAAAATAAAAGTCAGTGGGATTCACCGGGATGTAAACAAGTTTGAAAAAAAAAGCCAGAAAATATACTGCGCACGCATTGACTGAAATTAGACACTAAATTATATTTTGGTTTTTTTACCCTCTTCTTTTACAACAAATAATCTCTAATTTTAATATATGTGTTGTTTATAGTAGACTTTTGTAAAAAGCTGGGGGGACAAATGGCAAGTGGGCTGGAAAAATCGGAAAAAGCAGGAAGATTTACATCCCTGGATTCAACTTTGATGGAACTGTACAACTTGCAATACATTTTAGTTCAGCTCTCAAATTTTTTAACAGTGCATATATTTTGTTACCCCACCCCCTCCTCCCCCCCAGTACACACACACACACACACACACACACACACCTGCAATGAACAATAATTTCAATTTTATTGTCTCTTAAGATTTAAAAAAGTTGTTTTGTCCTCTCTAAGAGCTGCCAGATTTAGACCAAAACTGAGGGAATTAATTATTGTCCAAATTAGGGACTAGAATCTAGATCTAGATCTAGATCTAGAAATCTAGATCTAGAGAAACAACTGAATAAATACAATGAAGAGTCTTAAAATCTCTGGTTCATACCCATCTATAGACTCTACAAAAAAAAGTGAATTTCGAAAGATCCAAACAGATCCAAGGGAGGGGTGGACTTTTAGGGAGGGGGGGTGTTACCCTGCCCCACCCCTGTTACCCAGCCCCACCCCGTCAAACTACTATTAATTTGACATGCACTGAATCATTGCAATTTGAAGGCAGTTAATCAGTGGAGAGTGGAGAAGCTTGCAAGATTGAAGAACAAGAACTGTAGAATCTAGATCTAGATCTAGAATCTATACATATCTAGATCTAGATTATCAAGAGGCCAAAAATGTGTTTGTTTTTTTATAAGAAATGAAAGGCCATAAGAAATCATAGTTTAATAAGATGTCCATTTAAAGTAGGCTGGCAAGTTTGTTGCAATGGCAAAGGTTCTTGTCCATTTCTTTAGTTAGTGAACTAGAAATCTAGACTCTAGATCTAGATCTAGAGATCTACACTTCGCCAGACAAGAACTAAAAAAAAAGAATAAAGAAGAGACGAGTTGGAGAGAGGAGACGAATCAACTTTTTCGCGACTCCCAGAGATTAGAGAACTAGCCTACTGAAATTATGAATTGTAAAGACAACCTTAAGCATTGGCTCAAACACACATATCTTCACACAGAAATAGTGACACTCCTCCGAATGAACGAGTTCCGTGTTCTCTCACATTCAAAGTATTGAGTGAGAAGATCCGTCTGGCCTCTGAGTCTGAGCCTGAGAGACGAGACGATGTGATCAACTTCGACATTCGACCTTACCCGGAAATGTCAACACACCGGGGTAGCTTCGCGCTCCGTACAAGAAACAAATCGCAATTTTACTAGAGGTAAAATCAAGACATTATAATATTA